GGGGGGGGGGATGACACCTAAATTATTTCCTTCCCCCTGTGTCTGCCTGTGGGTCTCAAACCTCTGATTCTAGATCAATAGTTACACACTGATAAAATGCATATAAGGCGGCTGTTTTGTCTGCCAGAGCGCTTGTACTTCCGTGCTTCCATTCCTAAGATTTACACAGCTCTGCCACATAGCACAGCCTTGTCTGGCAGGGAAGAAATCTTACTTTTCTTTGCTGTAGTTTAGTAACACAGCACTTGTCCTTCACCAGCGCCCCCCCTCCTCCTTTGTGACTAGACAGATAATAAATAGCAGCAGACTGATGAGTTCATACTCTCTCCTCGGGCATATTCTCCTTTTTCCACCCTGAGCTCTGCTGTACAGGAGATTGCAACCTTGAAACCAAAATTGGCTGCAGTCACTGTTTATCTTTGTTTTTTTAGGACCAGCTCCTTCTACAGGCTCCTTGATTTTAAAAAATGGCTTTTGTTGAAAGAGGTGCACCAACATGGCCTCACACTACTCGAATGTTGCCCAAGTCAGCAGGACTTAGCTGAAATATGCCTAGTGTGTGGCTAGCTTAAAGTGACCCTAAACTCAGGCATTAAACCTTAAAAATGCATTCATGTACCTTTTAACTATTAACAAAAATGTATCTTATTTGTGTATCACTCACCTGTAGATCCTCAAATCATCTCTGAATTGGTGCTGACACTGTCCTTCCTTCTGGAGGGTGGCTACTTTTCTTCCCCATGGTCCCTGTGTGTGTTGTAAAGTAGTCACCGCTCCAAGCTCGCTCCTGTGATGGACTACACTCTCCATACAAATTAGTATGGAGATTGTAAACGTGAAGATTGTAGTCCAGTAATTAAAAAAACGTACGATCTGCCCATGTTGGACAAGCAAATCGTACTTGCGATCATCGATCGACTTCCGATCACTGCAAACGGGCAGTGTGCGCGTGCGCACACTGGCCCGTTCGGCAGTTGTCGAACAAGCAGGCCACTAACCCGCCGAGAATCTAACGATTCCCGGCGGGTTTTCCAGCCTGCTTGTTCGACGGAAGACGTGCGACCGTACAGTAGAAACGGTCGCACCCCTTCCATACACTTTGCGATTATCGTACAGTGCATGGGCACCTTCAAGGATCTGCTAGCAAGCGGTGAGCTTTATCACTAAGTGACACTTGATTGAAGCTGTTAATAGGACAGGCAGCACTCTGCATTGTTTTTGTCTCACTATTCTGTTGCATTCACTGTTGTGACCCATTTCATAGTATACACATAATATAGCTGCGTAGGGGGGGACAGTATAGAGTTGTGAATATGATCTATATAGTGTGTGGAATGGATAGATTTGACATTTAGATTTGTATTTAACTACAGCTGAAAGTTGCTTTAAAAGCTTCAACAAAGCTGCCTGGAAATTGCTGAAAGATTTGCAAATGCTTTGTTGTTCCTGGATGTACACACTGCTTTTAAAGTGGAAGTAAAGCGCCAACAAAATAAAAATAATAAAAGGATCCATCAGGGGCTTTCAGCCATAATGAGTTTGTCTGCACAGCATATTATTAGCACATGATGACAGACTTACCGCACAAGGCGATCCCCTCTAATGCTTTGATTATTATTATACAGGATTTATATAGCGCCAACAGTCTGCGCAGCGCTTTACAATATAAGGAAGACATTACAATTTATTTATTTTTTTCTCACATACACATGATTGATTAGCTCACTGTTTCTGACATCATCATAACATATTATTGAAATATAAGGACAGTACACAGAGAAACAGATACGTAATCTCCACTTAACAATTGATGATAGATAAGGGGGAGGGGGGGAGGGAGGGAGAAGGAAGGAGGTAGTGATTAGCATTATAATCTTATTTTTCACATCACCGGTAGTTATCTAGACAAATAATATGGATACAATTAGGCACATTTAACAGTACTCCATATAAAGACACATATTATCACACTTTGAGCATCAATAGATGTACACTTTCTCACTATGATATATTATGTGCGATGTATAGTACTTTAGGTTCACATAGTAGTAATTAATAGAAGGTACTAAACCGCTCCCTAAGCTGAAGAACTCAAATTGTAAAGATAAGAATAACACTAAAGAAATTAAATGCAATAGATAGTTAATATAAAAATTAAGTGAAAAAAATAGACAAGTCCCCAAAAAAGGGTATAAAATTCATTTCAGTACAGCGCTGCATGACGGAATAAATGTCAGTCAAAGTACCGCAGCGCTGAATACTGAAAAATGGCCTGGATGGGAAGGGGGTTTAACACCGCGGATGTCAACTGGTTAAAGGGAAAATGGGAAGAGTGGCACTATGCAGATATAGTCTGGGTTATGACTAAGTAGGTAAAACATGGAGGCTAGAAGGGATTAATTTTATGTTATGTATTTGACTTAATGTTAATTGTTAGTTAATTATGTAATTGTTAGTTAATTATGTAATTGTATGAAATATGGAGGATTGTGAAAATTAATAAATATATTTATAACAATTCAAGGCAAGATGGTAAGGAGGGCCCTGCCCCTGAGGGCTTACTATCTAAAAGGGAGGGGCAAGTGATACATGAAGAGGTAGCTGTGTGGGGATGAATTGTATGAATGTAAATAAATTGTATAGGCTTCCCTGAAGAGATGAGTCTTAAGGGATCGCCTAAAGGCAGTCAGAGTGGGAAATAGACAGGTTGGGGTAAAGAGTTCCATAGGATGGGAGAGACTCGAGAAGTCCTGGAGGCGAGCATGGGAGGAGTTGATGAGGGAGCTGGAAAGCAGAAGGTCTTGGGAGGAGCGGAGGGGACAGTTAGGGTGATACTCATGACAGCGATCCTTTCCATCACCAGCACTTCCAACTTCTTCCAGCCTTCCTTCCGGGTTCGGAGTCTTCTGCCTCTTGACTGGCTAGGCACGAATGGCGTAACTCCCACGCATGGGAGTTATTTACTCCTGACACAGAATCAGTGTACATAAACAGAAACAAAGTCTTATAGGCAGGTCGGAGCATCTGTAGAGCCCCAAACAAGATACTATGAGAGTCCAAACATGTTTAACTACCTCCCGGCCAGCCGCTGTGTATACACGGCCTGCCGGGAGCTTCTTGGATGTAACTGGGCGTGTATACACGTCCTGTTACATCCGCCCGCGAGCGGGAAATCCCCGCTATTTGAAAAGAAGAAAAATGGCCTGGATGGGAAGGGGATCTAAACACCTGGTCTTCAAGTGGTTAATAATAGAATGGCTTCATAAATGAGAACACAGAACATCCAACACATTTCGGGAGCTTAAAGACCTCCCGCTTCTTCTGGGCTTAAACATGCTGGGTAGTATTCTGGACTCGACACTGGTCCGAGGTACCATTGATTAGTGATTTGCTGTGTAGAGACCAGACGAAACCAGTGCATCAGCATCTCTGACATACACAGTCTCTTCTGTCTGTCTGCACTTTTGGTAAATCAGACTTGACTTCCACTTTATACAAGCTGAAGGAAATGTGAACGAGGCCTTACATCATCCTTAATGCTCTATTGCTGTGTAGGGGAATGCATGCGTTTGTGTATAAATATTCCTATTTCCCTCTCACACTTGCAGAGCTGTATCATAGAATATGATGTTCTCACTGACTGATCATATTTGTAACTTCAGGGGGCTGCCTCTTATCAAAATCAATAGAGTGGGGCAAAATGCAGAAGGGAAAGCTGATGAATCAGGAATGTCACACTGTGCTGCAATGGGGCTGGACTGACACCTGCTGATCAATGGCAGCATTTCAGATTAACCATGTTGGAGGCTGACAACCTAAAGTGTATTTACATTTTTGCAGTCAGATTTGAGAAAACCCCTGTGTATGTATGTTAGGTGTTCCCATTCACACAGCATACCGAAATGTCAACAAATATAGATTTCGTACTTTTTAGATGTTTTGTGGCAGCAGGCAACATGGCTGATTCCAGGTTTTTCTGAGCACCTTCACAGTGATCTGTCCTTATAGAAAGACATAGGACTGCAATTTGAGGATTGTTTTTCTCTGGTTAACATACAATGGGGAAGACAGATTTGTAATCCTTTAACCCCTCACAGCCCCTCCTAACATTACAAAGTAGGAAGACTTTTTACCTTAAGAAGCCCTAACCCATGTAAAAGCAATTTAAACTGCAAGCAGCCTTTTTAAATATTTTTGTTTAGCTTATGCTATGTGAATGGGAACACTTGACAATTATAAAATAGGTGTTATCCCAATTTAAAGCTTAAACTGCTTTCCTGGTTACATGCCAAATGCCTTGGGTAACACTCGCATGTAAAGCTGAGGCTCCATGATTGAAAGTATCGCAATCCATTGAATGAAAGGGATGGGGCGGGGACAGTCAGGCTGGGGAGCCAAGAGGTACATGATGCTGGACATCCTGTGGCCAGGAAATGAGATGGGCTCTATCTGACTTGCTGCAGCTTCTAATGCACATTGTGAGAAGTGTGCAATGAAATCAAAGTGAAGCAATTTTAGTCCAGGAGAGGAGCCGCTACAACTGTGCAAGAATGAAGGGAAGGCCGGAGGTCAGATATAAGACTGAAGGGAAGGCCGGAGGTCAGATACAAGACTGAAGGGAAGGCCGGAGGTCAGATACAAGACTGAAGGGAAGGCCGGAGGTCAGATACAAGACTGAAGGGAAGGCCGGAGGTCAGATACAAGACTGAAGGGAAGGTCGGAGGTCAGTTTTAATTCCTCTGACCTTTCTAAATCCTAGCAGCCAGCACCTCCACCCTTGTTCTCAATGAATGCTTCTTTAAATAGAACCCGTATACATTCTATATGAGCATTGCCAGCTGGCACTTGTAGTCTTATTCATACCTAAATAAGAGACAAAAATCAACTGATTTGTATACTGTATATCTCTGCTGTGTATACTGTATATCTCTGCTGTGTATACTGTATATCTCTGCTGTGTATACTGTATATCTCTGCTGTGTATACTGTATATCTCTGCTGTGTATACTGTATATCTCTGCTGTGTATACTGTATATCTGCACACTATAAAACAATGTCTGACGCACACACATGGGCATATTATAATACAGCAATAAAGAAAAAAAATGATGCGTCACAAGTTAATATATATAGTAGGGATGCACTGATACCAAGTACCGTACAAGTACATGTACCGATACTTTTGAGCTCCAAGACTAGACTAGAGAAAGATTAAAAAATTAGGAGGCCGCTGTCATTTGTAAGGAGCAAACGGAGCTCCTGGGATTTCTACAGCTCTGTTTTATGTATGATTTTGTTTTTATAAATATATATATGAGATGCACTGATACATTTTTGTTTATTGTCATGTGACAGTTTTTCTAAAACAATACGGACTAATGATTTCAGGACAGTGGGGGAGCACCGGAGCCCACACACACACCGACACACACTGTCCTAGCAACATCCCAAGCCGAAATATGACATGCAAAGAGTAGAACTAGTTGGCCAATCCAATGTTTCTAAACGTTTTTTGTTTTTTTTTAAATTCATGTCACTCTGTAAAAGCAAAATGCTAAATCTCGAGGCGCCTCATTCTAATATGAAAATGTAAAAAAAAAAAAACTGTGATTCCCTCAAAATCTATACCAGAACCTTATCCTTGATAGGGGTCTGGTATGGATTCCTATCCGTGTCCCTTTCCGTGCAAGGGTTAAAGGAGGACTATGGGGTCAGGGCTTTTTCCCCATAGTTCTCCTAAGGGTCACGGGGGGGACACAAACTAGCGTTCTCCCATTACCCTAAGCTCAGTATATAGCAAGCAGTATACTGAGACTGCCGCAGCCGGGACGGATCCCGACATTGATGTTGAGATCCGCCCAGCTGCATGATTGACAGCTGGCTCTGCCTATTTAGAGGCAGAGCCAGCTGTGTCTGTTCCGCCAGTCCGCGCTGGAGGATCGGACAGGGGAGCGGGGGAATCCCTGCAGGGAGCCGTGAGTGACAGTCACGGCTCTCTGCAGGGATAGATCGAGAAGTGAGCGAGCGACTGTGTGTGTTCGCTCATATCCCGATCTATAGAGCCGACCTGTGACAGTTTCATTGTCACAGGTCGGCTCAGATTATGAGGCTGAGTGAAAATCACTTGCTTCATTTGCACATTTTGTCCAGGAGGCTTAAATAAAGCTGTATTACTGACCTGATCCTCAGCCCCACAGCAGTCCGCACTCACCTCTCCCCCTCCTATCCGGCTATGGAATGTCCCTTGGCATCCTTGTGTCTAATACAGGTCACTGGACCTGCATTTGAGGTGATGACGTCAGCGGTCCGTAAACCACCAGAGCCAAGAGGCTGCAGGGACCGGTTTACTGGCCCAGCGGGACCAAGGATCAGGTGAGTAAATCTGCTTTATTTTAATATCCAAAAAGAGCACTTAACCCTTGCAGTGCATGGGTAACCCCCACTGCAAGGGAACGTTTTTAGTTTGTCCCCGAGTTCTTCTTTAGACTCTAGAAGCGTTTTTCTTTTCCTCAGCATTATGGTCAGACTTGTAGGCAGTGTTTCTGACATAAACACCATTCTGTCTTGCAGGATTTTTACACTGTACAGCAAGTCTCTACCACTGGATTTGGCGTGCCGAGTGTGGGATGTTTTCTGCCGGGACGGGGAGGAGTTCCTGTTCAGGACTGCATTGGGAATACTAAGACTATTTGAAGACATTTTGACAAGAATGGACTTCATCCACATTGCCCAATTTCTAACCAAACTCCCAGAGGACTTGATAGGCGATGACGTGTTCTCCTCCATCGCTTCAATCCAGATGCAGAGCCGCAATAAGAAATGGTCACAGGTAATGCGTGTGTGTGTGTGTGTGTGTGTGTGTGTGTGTCATTGATTTCTTGCCATAGGCATTGTTGACCATGTATATGAGGAGTACAGATTGGGGTCATCCTGTGCTGCGTCTGTAGGAAGCGACCTTTGTTTTGGGTGCAGTCAGTGCTGCAGAATTCACCTGTCAGTGCAAGCTGATTTACTGAATAGGTTTACACATGGAAACATTATATATTAGGAGCCAAAGCAGCTCAGCAGAGTCAGCAGTCCTTCCATGCATCTTTGTTTTGGCTTAGTGACTCAAACTATTGAAGCCAGAGCCAGGCAGCATTTCCAGAAGAAGGTTAGAGATGACAACCTTCTCACGTCTCTAAGGAAAAGTTTATTTTATGGGCAGGAAGGGTTCTTTTGGTCTTCCTCTTACATGTAAAGCTGATCTTCAGGCAAAGGTAAAAGACGCATATTAAAGTGACACTGAACTATGGAGTTAGATCTTAAAAATAGATTCCGGTACCTTAACTATTCATAAAAATGTATCTTATTTGTGTATCACTCGGCTGTAGATCCTCAAATCATCTCTGAATTGGTGCTGACACTGTCCTTCCTTCTGGAGGGTGGCTACTTTTCTTCCCCATGGTCCCTGTGTGTGTTGTAAAGTAGCCACCGCTCCAAGCTCACTCCTGTGATGGACTACAATCTCACGTTTAGTTTACTGATTGGTATTGAGATTGTAGTCCATCACTGGAGGGAGCTTGGAGCAGTGGCTACTTTACAACACACACAGGGACCATGGGGAAGAAAAGTAGTCACCCTCCAGAAGGAAGGACAGTGTCAGCGCCAATTCAGAGATGATTTGAGGATCTACAGCCGAGTGATACACAAATAAGATACATTATTGTTTATAGTTAGGGTACTTGAATGTATTTTAATAATTTAGTTTAAAGTCACTTTAATATCAGCGTCTGTAAATTATTATTATTATACAGGATTTATATAGCGCCAATAGTTTGCACTGCGCTTTACAATATAGGGCAGACATTACAGTCACAATACAATTTAAGACAAGAAGGTAAGGAGGGCCCTGCCCGTGAGGGCTTACAATCTAAATCCCCTATGCAGCAGTACTCAGACTGGCAGAGGGAGAGGCAGGACTGCGAACCAATCAGGTTTGCCTCATGCAAACATATTAGCAAGGAAGGTGCTAATAAGAGGAGAAAGCAGAGTTAGCAGAGACCTAACCACCTGAACCTCTGGCTTCTCTTTCACTGCCTAGCAAACAGGCTGGGGGTAAAGAGAGGACACTGCCAGATGGACAGAAGTACTTTGGTAGGCAAGCAACTCCATTATATGTATTTTATCTGCGTGTTTTGCCTAGAGCTCCTCCTTACACATTGGTGTCTTTACTTGGTTATTTCATCAGAAAGCAAAACTGAATCTCTGCTCCAGTTGATGGCATTATCCTGGAATTCTTGTCCACCCCTGTCACTGAAAACATGCCTGATATAAGACCAGCTCTTTCTGTAAATGGCCAGTTTAAAGTCTGCAGATACCTTCGCTCCAGCAAAGCAATGTCGCCCTGGGAATATCTGTGAACATTCGTTCTGTGCTGATATATGACAAAACAAACATTCTTTAGTTGTTTCTATACACGGCAATCACCATCTGCAAGGAGTTTGCATGTTCTCCCTGTGCTTGCGTGGGTTTCCTCCGGGTACTCCGATTCCCTCCCACACCCCAAAGACATGCTGGAAGGTTAACCAGCTCCTGTCTAAATTGGTTCTGTATGCATGTGAGATAGGTACCTTAGAGTGTAAGCTCCTTGATGGCAGGGGCTGATGTGAACGTGCAAAGTGCTTTGTTAATTGTCGGCGCTCTATAAATACCTGTAATAAATAAGGCAATTCTGGCCACTAGATGGCACCGAGGAGCGCAGAAAACGAATAATTTCCTCAGCTCCTTTAGTGCCATCTAGTGGCCTATATAGTGATATTACATGAAAAAGTTTGAATATTCATTGCAAAGAAAAAAAACGAAAGAACGTTGACTTTGGCATATATTCGTGAAGAAACGTTCACATCTATTCACAGGGAGAACGGCCCTGAAAATGGTTTATAAATAATCCCTTTAGTATGTATCTTCTGTAATAAAATACCTCCCTGCTCACAATGTTTTGTTAAAAGGCCACAGTTTTGCTTTAAGTGATGCATGAGTGTGTTTTATGACGCGGCGTAAATTCTGCTTATGTCTTGTGTTCCAGATTCTGTTGGCGCTGCAGAAAGATAATCGTGAAATGGAGAACAGAAGTCCCGCACTAAAGCACTAAACATAATCTCAGGATGGAGAAGTGTTTCCAGAAATGGGGAGGGTTTTGTTTTCATTGGGAAGAGAACAGAATTCTATTTCAGGACTGTGTCATACACTGGAATTGGCCTTAGCATGTTACTGGTCACCTGCACATGGAAGAGGCAGCTGAACACTGGTTTATATACATGCAGGCTATCTACTAACCAGCTAGGGAACTAGTCACTAGATTCTAGTCAGCTGATAGGCAACTATTGATTTGCAGTGGGCATGACGGGTGCCTGCTGACCAACTATACTCCAGAAAATGTATTCCACGAGCTTTCTAGAAGGACCACGGTTGGCAAATCTTGCCTTGAATCAATACAGCCACACCTCAACATTTCTAGTCATGTAGATGAGCAAATGTGATTATTTCCTCTGTAAAGGACAAATGGGCATAATAAGTTTTTTCACATGGACCATGATTTTTAGTAGGGTAGCTGATACAGGGGCAGTCTGCTCAAAGCTAATATTGTCAGTTTTGGATGGATGTTAATAGACAAATCACTCTGCTGACTTCTTGTATCTCTCAAGCACTTTGGCCCAGGGTTCTGTGTCAGCTCACCTGTCAAAACCTTTACGAGGGACAATTCTTTCATTATTTCACTTCATAAGGAAAGACTGGAACTCCCTTTCTTGAATTCACAGTGTCTGTGGCAAAGACCAGAGCAAGGAACCAGCAGGGGCAGGTGATATCTGTGTTGGCTTTAGGTGGACTGGCCCTTTTAAATGTAGCTTTTATTATGACAAAAGCGTTTTGTGATAATCAACCATTTCTATAAGGGATTACTTAGACCCGTGGGAGAAGTGCCCCCAACCAGAGGTTACACTGTGCTTTCTTGATCTGGGTCATTGATGGCGAACCTGTCATGTGACTGTCCAAGACCTACTATTAAGCCAAAGGTTTCGCACTTGTTGACATAAAAGAAAGTAATTGAATGGTCTGTTCATCAGATCTACGAATGTGGTAAAGTTATATCATCCTTAATCTGAATGATTATTGGTTTAATGTCCATGGGCAGGGACGCCATGACTATGACTTACCATTGGATAGAACAGTAGAGCAACTGCTCCATTTCATCTTTTATTGTGCGTTGGCACATTGTACCACATGCTGGCTTTTTGTATCTGCCAGGAACTCCATTGCTGAGGGTCCACCATCAAGTTATCCTTTTCCTCTTGACTGCCTTTATTCTACAAAACCAACTATTAATGTCACAAGAGCGTGACATAATGTAAAGTATACAAATATACGGTTCCTGTAACTTCAGGTGATTCACACCTTCATTCTGGTGTTGAGGAACATAAACCACTATGGGGAAACCTCACCATTGGAGTCTCCTGGAACTATACAAGAGATTAAGCCCTCTGGTGAACCTTATTTAGGTTGCCATTTTGGTTTAACTATGCGCTCCAAGAGAGGTAACTGCAGCCAGCATGTGCTTCCCTTTGCTGCTTTATGGAATCAGGAATAGATGGGAAATCTTCCAAAGGCGACACTGGTTTTGGTAACCTGTTGACCACCAGGGATTTCCCTCACTTTGGATGGATTTCCTCATGTTTCTTGTTGTGGTTATCGGACAGGGGTTATAACCCTCCCTTACTATATCCAAAAGTAAAAAAAAAGTTTTGGCTTCAGTTCTACTGTAATCTGGCCTTTGGGATTCTCCACTTTCAGAAGGTGCTTCTTTGTTCCAATAGGAGTGCCTGAGGCCTCAGCGTCTTTGCTATTTGCTGCGAGCGCTGCGTTGGCTTTCTCTTAGCAAGCTGGAAGGACTAACCGGCCATAACAGTGTCACAGAAAGCAGGTGACTGCGCCGCGAAGGGTGAACAAAAAGCCGGCGCTATGGAGAAATGTCCCCTTAGTAAGGCACTTATTTGAATGATACAAAATCAGCAGCAGTTTTCCTTGTTTCAGATAATATCTGTGAGAGATAAAACCTGGGAGAAGAGACATTTGTTTATTTATTACAAAATGAAAGCAGTCATTTCCTATTTCTCCATGGGCACTTACCAAAGATAAATGCACGTCTATGGTGTTAAATGTTTCATGTCATGGCAGCTGTGCTGGGAAAACTCGATGTCTGAACCAATGCTGAATGTCCTGATTGGGTTTAGTTCACGATTGTCACTTCCTGTCTGTGTAGATTTGGCAGAATGGGTCTGTCTGTCTGTCTGTCTGTCAGACTCTCGCACCAAAACACTTTTACAGTAAAATACTTGGCAGTCACAACAGTCTCTCGTCCGCTGATGAGGTGTCTGGGCTCTGCAGGTTTTCTAGATAATATTATCTCTCACACTGGAATTCGGATGGCATCTGTACGCAGGGCATTATGGGCTCCAGTCCAGTGTCTGCCTACATGAGTGTACTAAATCCGGCACCACACTTTTATAAAGCAGCATCTATTTTTAAAGTGAATTACTGGGGCATACCAGCAACTAAAGGCAGAACGCAGACACGTTAAGTCAAGTTAGGCAACCTTGGCCTACAGATAACATCATGTCTCTGCCTCTGGGATTCCTATCTCTGTCAGAGTCTTGCAATGACTTAACAAATGAACTTGTAGTTCCACAGAAGCTGGAGTGCTCAGGTTGCCTACCCCTACATTAAAGCTATAGGCATATGGACATATTTTGCCTTACCTTTCTTCTGTCATGACTTTGGCAACCGGCAAAGGGATGGAAATGTAGTGTACAGTAGTATAAAACAAATATAAACAGTTCTGCAGACAGAGACACATTCCATATCTTGAGTGATGTTGGGCTAAATGAAGAGAAAGGTTAGAGGGAGGAGCCTAAATGCTGCATTTCTTCTTTTCTGCTCCCTTGATATAAGTGAGGACTCTGATTGCGTAGAGCACTAGAGTTCTAAATGAGGGCCCCAGTGTTTCACTTGTTACTTGCCGAACTCATGATATACCAGGTTGGGCTAAGCATGGGCTGTATGCACATAGCTTTAAACAACAACAAAAAAGTTTGTGCAGATGGTCTGGGATTTCATGGGACTGTTGGCTATCACTCAGGAGGCTTTCACCCAAAAATGATCAGACTCTCAGGAAGGGGAAAGATGTGTGTGATCAGCAGAAACGTTTTTCAGCTCTCAACAACCAGTCAGTCTATCCATACCATTCACTTGTAGAAAGTCAGAAGAGAAATGTTATTGGCTTGCATTGGCCAACGCCATTGGACACTCAGTCCATTTTATCCAGTGAATTGCGCTGTGTATGTTGACGTGAACATCTGCAAAGTGTGAAAGAACCCATTTAAAATGAAAAGTACGAGGCTGACATGGGCAGTAACCAGCTGAGGTTTCATTTGTCAGCCTTTCTGTAGATCAATGTTGGTTTGGCTGCTGTATAAATCCGACACTTTGTCATTCTATAAGTACCCATGACCTGCGAGGCTCTTTATTTGACTGTTATACAGGTCTGATGGGTCCTTGGAAAAAAACAAAACCTTGTCCTACTGATGAGATCACAAACTGAACATCAGTAATATGTGAATGGCGCCTGTCACCGGGCCTTGTACTTGTGTGTTTGTCTTTACACTGGATACAATCAGATGCAGTTTTTCTGTTTGCTTTAGAGCCCGAAAGGCAGGCATGGAAATGGGATGCCAATAGCTTCTCTCCACATGCCCACCGAGCGCACCCCAAATGCCAAGGTGGAAAGGGCCTACTGCGCTGAATGCCTCAGTACACATGGGCACTTAGTGAAGAGTTCTCTTTGCACTTTAAGGAACAGCCCCCTGGGCCCCTAACGGGCATTTAGGTAGTGGCCATTACTTCTGTTCAGTGGTTTCTCTTTATGGGCCACAGACAGCGGCATGGGAGTCTTTGCTGTGTCTTCTCTCTAACTAGAATTTAGTGACCAAAAAACTCAGCCACCATTATGTTAATCTAAGCACCTTAAAAACATTTGGTTTGAATTAATAACGTTGTGTGAAGGGTAATGTGATCTCGAACAGCCAATAGAAAAGGAGCTTTTCTACTCTGCATAGCGAGAGTTGGCTGCTTTGGGTTTAAACCACTGAAATCCCCTTTCTTCATGTTATTACTGAACACCAATGGATCAATGCTGGAATATTGGTCATCTATGACTGAATGCTTATGTATGATTAGCTCCACTTGTCACCAAAGTTCATTATACATTTTCCATATAGATCGTTCTTGTCGTGTGTTTTGTTTGTGGGATTTTTTTGTTGTTGTTTGAAACTTTCTATTACGGTACCTAGATTTAATATATTATTTTTCTATGTATGTCATCCTCAGTGCAGGCATTCAGGGCAGAGCAAAGAGAGTGACACAACATGACTATGTAGTCAGAAATACATCAAATACAAGCTATTTATTTGGGGGGTGGGGGGTCATCTTCCTGTAAGGACAGACAGGCACTTACATTTTTTGTTTCCATTATTTTTGTTGTCAGTCAATCTTGGCCTAGCCAAACACCTTTCCATTGCAGGCTGATCTAGAGAAGTCAGTCGATTTCCCCCATCTATGCTACGCAGCGTGGATGAAGGAATCTGCCTGGCTGGGTATTGTATTTAGCAGCCAGCTGTACCTGCGGACATCCGAATATCACAGTGACTGGATCTGGTTGGCTGTTGCACTCGGCTTCTTCAAAACAGGGCCACCAACAGCTGGGATGTCACCCAAATTCCAGCCATGTATGGCCAGCTTTACCCAGAGCATTTTGTGTTTTTGGGACATGGATGGGGAAGTCTTCCCTGCCTCTGTGTTTCCAACTTCACCCAGCTATTGAGCAAGAATCTCTTGATTTTTTTTCTTCTTCCATTTCTCATGCAGAATGTACTTGCAGGGGGATGTCATAGTTGGGGAATTCTGAGAACCACAACAAGCCACCGGATGATGTAACCCATCTGCATCAGCCCCATTGCCTTAACTGAAAACAAACCAGCTTGTTAAGAGTAATACTTCTTGCCAGTCCAGCGGGTGGTGACTCAAATCTTTGCAAAGCTACGCCAATCACTATGCTCCTGCTGCCTGCTGTGGTTCCAAACGCCGGCTGCTAAGTCACCCAAGAAGTGTCCGACCATGAAGAGTCCAGATTATTATTCATTCTTTCTGTGTCAGGGTCACTTTATGTATCCATTTTAAACAGTACCAATGTTGTCCTTTATTGAGCATCAACAGTACTTAGTAAGTGGGGTAGAGTGTAAAGCTGGCCATACATGTTTACACCCGCGGTCTGAAAGAAAACAGCTTGACTCCGCCATCAATGCTAAACAGCATGGATGGAGAAATCTTGCACTGCCCACTTTTGTATTTTAACAGAGAGAGCAGTTTGAATACTTCAATGGTGAGTGAAACTGATAGTCACTGTTCCACCAACAATTTTTTGCTTAGAAAATTATTTCCAACCAAAGTTTCTCAAGCCAGGAGGGGCCAACAGGG